ACCCATGCTGCCCACAACCGCGCAAATGAGAAGCTCGTACATTTCATTGTCAAGCAACACATGGTCGACGCACACCTCCTGGTATGAATGACTCTGTTGCTTTTCTGCTGGTGTAATTCTTGTTCTATATCATTTAATCCAATATAGGTATACCAAGAAACTGTTCAGTGTGCATAGCAGTGACTTGGCCGATAGAGTTTTAGGGGGTGATTGTTTGTGTTCCTCAAAAAGCTACAGTTCTGGTGTCACTTCACTAAAATTATGTAAATGTTGCAGCAGTGCTGAGTAATGAGTGCTGCTTTGATCTTTTAGGACAGCCCAAACTGAAACAGAAGCAGAAAGCAGAGTTTTTTACCAGCTCAAAATAATTTAATATTCTGAGTAATTTGGACTATTTGTTTTCCTTTATGCCACCAAAGTTTTATGAGATGAAAACTCATATTTGGTTTCTGTGGCTCAACTTAGGCTTGAAACTTTCCTGCTCAAATTATGTAACTTTTCAGCTTTTGAGTTATTGACTGCAACAGTGCCGGATCTAGTGCCCCCGCTAACCTGACCCCACTGTGGGCTGCCCATTGTGGGCTGTGTGGGTACGCCAGTACTGGGGGTAGTGGGTTTGCCCATTTAAAAAGCCCATAAAGGGGCCCCCAAAAGGTAAAACTGCTGCCAGCCCTGTGTGGGAACACCCAACTGTGAGACCCATGTGAGAAATGTGTGGGTTTGCCCCAACCCACACAGCTTCACAGTTCACCCACTGCACAAGCACGTTTGTAGGCCACGGTTTTCATCTGTTTTTACAATACAGAATCACAATACATATAAAGACTGGGTGAGGTTGAAACACCAATCAACAACAAGGGCTTTGAAGTGCTGCAAGAGAAGAGCCCTGTTCTGCCCTACTAATGAAGTTACAATAGATCCAAACAAAAGCCTTTCAACTGTAATTCTTCGTGGAAACCAAATATGCCTTGACTTTGACTTCCTCTTTTAGCTGGCGTTACCATCTTGGAAGTTTAGAAAAAACACATGATGACCAGCTGACTTAAAACATGTAGCCACTGGTGACCTTTCATCTGAATTCCTTTAGTTGCTTTTATGTGCAGAGATCCCTTTTTTGTGTCTGTTTGTTTGTTTTTGTTTTAATAAATCTTGATTAGTTTTCACAGCATATACCAGCCCAAATGTGGATTTCAACAACTAAATCATAAACAACAGATTTGTTTTTTGTTTTGTTTTTTATTTTAAACTTATTTCCAGTGTGTGGAAACAAATGCACGTCTCCTTTGGCCATAGCATCACATTTGCCACAGTTACATAGGTCTGGAAATTAAAGATAGTCAAAGACTAGACATTTAAATTCAACTTGCCATCATTTATGTTCTTCTTAGTTCCTTGTTATAGTAATGGAAAGAAGGATCGGGATAGATTTTTATTAACACTTTTTTTTTTTTTAAATTTCATTTATATAGTACAATACTAAGGTTATCATCAACAAATGCATATTATTTTTCTGTTATAAAGGTTAATGTTTTACCTTGATTGATGACATACCACTCATGATTATATGCTATTATTTGCTGATGCTGATAACTGCTTATAGCTGAAATGCCCTAGTTTGCCATTAGGTAAACGCAAAGAGGTACTTATAAGTGAGTACCAATATTTTGTTTGTCCTAACTATTTATCAAGACCAGGTGTCCTATGCTCTTATAAGTTTCTGAATTGCGCGCTCTGTTAGTATGACACCAGAGCAAAGTCAAAAGCCGTCTCTGTTAAGACGTGGAGATTTATTTGAATAAAGTACGGGTGGTAGAGGCCACAACGAATGTAAGCTGACCTCGATTTTAGTATACTTACAAATTTAAGTTCACCCCAGTAATGTCCAATACTTTCAGGAGCTCAACCAGTTATGCAAAGAGTGTGCCAGAGCATGCAAAAATTAAGCAAACATATGGGTGAATATTGAAAGTATTTGCATATGAATGCTATAATTTTTTTTTTTTTCTCAGTTGCAGTTCTTTTTAAAATCTGACATCTGAGCTGCGCCACACTAAGATGTGATGGCATAAGAAACCATAATTGATTGAATAAATCTCTTCCCATTGTATCACACTTCCTACAGGCTGTGATCCATGGACAGGAGAAGTCCAGGTGGCTTCGCTCCTTCTTAAGTGACAATCGTAGACGAGTGGTGAACATATACCTTGAAGATGACCATCAGCTCGACCAAGTCTACTGCTACCTAAATGAGCTCTATACAGCAGCTGTGGCCAACGCCCCCTGCGTAGCTGATGTGAAATCCATGGATCGTGTCCCTTTTGTCCTGGATGTGCTTCTTCCTGAGGTGAGCTAAAGCCTGCATGAGTGCTCACAGGTTTTGTTTGCAATGTTTCCTGATATGCAGTTCAGTTTCTGTAGTCCAGGTGTTATGAGTTTGTTTCTGTGCAGGCCATTATTTATGCCATTGCTGGAGTGGACAACATTTCAGTAAAAACAGCAGAAGAAAAATACCTCAGGGGGCGGCGTATAAGTAACAGGTAAGACTTTCATATGTTAAATTTTTAAAAAGAATGACTTCATTGATAAATACTAATTTTTTTTGTTGTTGTTGTTGTTTCAGAGAAAGGCAGCAGTTTGATTTAAAGATTGAGCAGCAAATGAGGAAGAAATCACATCCAAACACTTCCATTATTCTCTGACTGTCGGTCTGAGTGTCAAGATTTGTGACATTTTGAGTGTTTTAAGTTTTGTGTATAAGTAATGCAGCCATAACCGGTGTGCCTTGCAATCAATCACTGCACTGTTTTTTTTTTTTTTTGTATACTTGTAAAAAGTGAATATCAAGCATATAATAAAACCTAAAAACAGGTCATGAAATGTAATCATGAAAGGCAGTTTCATCACCTAACTTTATTCCGTAAGTGGAAATGTACACATGGCCAAATCGCTTCTCAAGCAGCTCAAGTATTAATGATCTGTCTGCATGTGCTTTTATCAGAGTTTTACATAAAATAAAAAGTGTTATAAAACTTTTTGTTGAACTGTGAAGGTTCTCATAAACACGAAAGGGACAGTCACACAGAGACCATAGAAAGGCAAAAAACCCTCTGCAATGGTGAAGAAAGTGGTAATAAACATTCCCCCACATCAAGGTGAGCAAATGAAGCAACCACCAATGAGAGAGAAGGATACCCCTGATTCACATATGATGGGGTGGAAAATGAATTGGAGGCAATCGGATCCTGGAGCATTTATAATTTCCATGCCAGTAATTGACAGTTGCTCTATGGACACGTCTCAATAAAAGGCCAAATGCCAACAGACTTCGTCACACCAGCAATAATAAACAGTACAGTACATACAGTTTGTGTGTTTGCTGATGTTGAGCTGATAGAAACTGCATTTGAAATTAAGTGACACTTAAAAATATTACTCCCTTTATGCCCCTTGCTCCTAGATGCCGAAGGGCCGCAACAGCTACTTATTGGTACATGCAGTCATTAAATATCGATAAATTAAGACACCGGACCACTTTGCCTCGTTCATCTCTTTTTATCTGGTGAATAATACACGAACAGGACTGCTTTTATGTGTTACAGTTTAGGCTCAAATCAGTTTGATATTTGAATGCTCGCAGTGATGTCAATAACTTCCCGCAAATCTGTGAAACTAAAAGTAACAGCCTGTTTTGAAAATGTAAGGAGTAGAAAGCACAGATAATTGCTTTAAAATGTAGGGAGTAAAAGTAAAAATGTGTCAGGACAAAAATACTCAAGTAAAGTAGAGATACCCTAATAGTCTACCTATGTACAGTAACCAGTGTTGGGAAGGTTACTTTTAAAATGTATTCCATTACAGAATACATGCCCCAAAATGTATTCTGTAACGTATTCCGTTACGTTACTCAATGACAGTAACGTATTCTGAATACTTTGGATTACTTAATATATTATCATGCTTTTTACAACAACGTGAATGTACTATTGCTGTGTGATTTATTACTATTACTGAAGGTCCGCGACTCCGAACTGTAGTAAAGGGACCTCTGACTAATACGGCGGGGTCCCTGTCGGCTCGTAGCCGAAAAATAGCTTTACTTTGTTGTGCGGGTCAACTTTTCTGGCGAGAGACAGAGACAGGCGTTGAAAGACTGCTCCAACGGGACTTATTGTTTTCGGAGGAAAACACGAACACGGTGTACAGTCCAGTCTTAATAGCTTACTTACAACTGGGCTCGTCAGGCACTCTTATTGGCTGAAGTGGTTATTATTATATTTACATGCTTCCAGCTCCCGTTTTTCCTCGATGACAACTCGTACCTTTCCACTCCCCTTTTTCTCCCTCCTCGCGCTCACAGACCCATAACATGTATGGCAGTCCATTCTCCCTGCATCATGGACTACACTGCCCATGATGCTACATTCTTTAGAGCTATGCTTGTTGCATTCTGCCTGTTAGCTTAGCACAACAACAACAACAACAACGAAAAGGCGCTCTCTCACCCACAGTCGCAGAGAGAGAGAGAGCGTCGCCCTGTAACCATGGCAACCGTAACCCTGCCGCCTGGAACAACAGAACGTAGCTGTCAAACAAAACCCAAACAGTCCTGACCCGCGACAAAATGAAACAGGAAAGTACCGCAGTGTAATCCATTTATTTCAACAAAGTAACTGTATTCTGAATACCACATTTTTAAACGGTAACTGTAACGGAATACAGTTACTCATATTTTGTATTTTAAATACGTAACGGCGGTACATGTATTCCGTTACTCCCCAACACTGACAGTAACGAAGTATTTGTCCCTGCTGTCTTTTTGTCAGAGGCACAACTGACACTCGTCTCCACCCACTCCACCCTGACTTGATGCCAGCAAAATCATGTATCTTCACTACCTTTCCTTGGAGCTTAACTGTTATTATAGAGCTTTTGCTTTGCCTTTCTGCCCCCGCATTGGAGCATTTTCACCACACGGCATATGATCCGTGTGTTGACCCTGCAGCTAAAAAAAGAAAAAGAAGACGTTTGATATTGCAAAGTCATGATCTTTCCGGTTTTAGTTTCTATTGTTCAAACAGAAGCAATGCCCAGACTGAGGGGGGCAGCAGTGCGTCCTCGATGTGTGTCTATTCTGTCGGAACCACAGCGAGGAAGAAATGCGTCAGAGCACTTTTCGACTGTGGAAATGGCGCTCTGCGTTGTTGGAGCCTGAAGTCAGAGGATCCTTTCGTGCTTGTTTGTCAGGTGAATCTCCTAGAGGGCTATCGGTAGGAGAGGTACTTTAAAAAGCAACGGATTATGACAGAGGAAGAAAGGAATCGAGATAATTATAAAGGAAAACGAACCAATTGTGGCTCTGATATAGCCATCAACATTCTCGCACAGGTAGTGTAAACGTTGGTAGCAAAAGCTAGCGGCACATTGCCTCACGTTTTCCAGGTCAGCTTGGAAAGATGTAATCGGGCCAGCTCGGCTCACTAAATGAGTTTATGCCGAGTAAATCCCCACACAGATTCACAATGCGGGCGTCACTTGTGTTAAATAGAAACTAACTCTGCTGCGGTGCTGCCAGAAGCTACAAGCTAACTGCGCTGTCTGGCGTTACGTTTTAACTGAAGCTAAACCACCAAAAGGACATCAGTCCACCTATATACTCAGATTGAAGTAAAACAAGACTCGTCGCTGACAGAGCTGTGTTTTTGCTAAGATGTCAACAATAATAAATGCCAGTTATAGTTATTAGCTGGGGTGGAAAAAACAAACATACCGCAAGTTAGACGCACACTGCTAGCACAAAGTTAGCTGCGTTAGCGAAAGTATTGCTGTACCTCGGGCTAGTTTAGCTAGCCACCCTTACTTTACCTTCGACTAGTGGTTAAAACGTGATGGTTTTAGTTTCAGTCACCGCTGTAGTTGACTTGTTGTAGCACAGACCTGATAGTCTACATGAAATGGCAACAACTTCCAAATAGTTAGTTATGCAGATGGATAACCTTAGAGTTAGCTTTCTTAACTTTAAGGGTGAAATTGAATAAACTGTAATCCTGCATAACCTTGCAAGCTAACTCGGTAACCTGCTAATGCAAGTGTATCAAGGCTACTACTTATTGTCTAGCACTAGATAACACTTGCATTGTTTCATTTATCTTTTTAATTTTATCACCATTGTGCGTTACTTAGCAATGTAAACAAATGTTTTGATACCATGTAGACGCTAACGAGCCAGACAACATGTGGTTACTGTGGTTTATGGAGCTATATAATGTTTTTATGTTGTCTCACATTTTTCATCATCGCTATATGTACATGTTCTGTCTTGTAGAAAGTTGAAAATGTTAGAAATGCATATAGGTGTCACACAGACTTGACAAATGTTGACACACGTGATCGCTATATGTTTGTTTGTTGAACCCATACGTGCTTTTCAATAGTGTTTTGTTGTTCTAAAAACATTTGCCTCCGACAGAGAATATATATTTATTATTTTGTAAATGTTATATCTGTGTGTTCAAACTCATGCCCTGGCATGTGGCTGCTGGACTACAGGCTTGTTGCGCGGGAGTTCACTTGAATCCAACGTGTTTCCTTATTTGGCCACAGGGGGCGGTATTGGGTACTATTGTGCAAACTAAACGTAACAGACGAATTTTTGTCAGCACTGTATACACAACAGAGTAACGCAGATAATGCTATCTTAGTGGAGCACTAGTGCAATGACGGGGCCAGTCGACGGCATATACATGAGCGTACTTGTGTTAGTCATGGTAATAACATGAACTAAACATTAAAAAAATCTTACACGAGTAAAGTTTTAGGAGTGGTCTGCCCTATGTAGAGGAAATTGGAGTATACAGCTTGTGAACCACAAAATAAAATGACCTTGAAATCTCTAGTTTACAGTGCTGTTGATGTAGACCTGTAAATTTACATGTTTTGGTAGTGTCAGTTATTATGAACAGGGGGGGGGGGAAAGGCCACTTGAGCAGGTTGGCTACTCTATTATTGTAATAGCGCTTTACTTCTCATCTCACTGTGAGAAGAATGTGCTAACAGATGTGCAGCTGTATGCCACGAGTTGTGGATTGGAAAGCAAGCCCATTCTCAGCCCCAGCTGTCCAAAAGTTTGCTGACAGCATATTTCCTGACAACTGGGGGGGCGCAGGCAGTGTTTTGAAAGAAAGACCTCTTTTGTGTAGAAACCTGGTCAAGCACATAAACCCCAAAGTGGTTTTAGGGATTAGTAAGGGTTCAGGAGGACTTTTAATTTGTTTTAATTTGTGTTTACTTAATGAGCGAATAGCTTGGCTAGGGTAATATGGAAGGAGGGAAATAGATGTTTTTGACAGGGTTTTTACTGGCTCAGAATGCGCCTGTGGGAGATGAATACATACAAATCAAGCCTGAGTTTGTTTCCTTATTTGACATAAATATGTGCATTTTATTTCTGACCCCTTTGATAAATAAAATGTCTGTCTTTTTTGTGTAAATTCAACCCAAATTAACAAAATTGGTTTTATAATTTTCCTTTTGGCTCTGCCCATTTTGTAAGCTGCCCCCCAAAAAAATCTAATAATAGTTTTATCATATTTGGCCAAAAGATTGGGTGAAATGTAAATAAAATAATCTTTTTAACATTTATTTATTTCCTTTTTATTTTTATGCAGTGAACAATGCATGACCTGACTGCACAAGTCACCAGCAGCTTGCTGCCTTTCTCAGGAGTGACTGTAGACGCTCTGGGGGAAGATGAGATTACGCTAGATTCTGTTCTTCATGGGAGGTTTACCGTTGGTAAGAATATTTCATTATTATTTTAAGCATTTAACAGCCTTTTTTTCTTCTCTCTTATTTGTAATAGCAAATAAAGGATATGAAATACAATACCATCATCGTCACATGTTATATAATGAACTATTGAAACTATATCACCCGGTGGGAAAAGAATCACTAAATAATACATGAAAATAAATCTGATGAGCTACTTGGTTTATGACAGTCTGACATCAAGAAAAACATTTTTTTTTCTTTTTGTCCAAGTCACTGCTTAATCTGCATGTTTAGGACATGTGGTGTATATTGTCTGACCTTTGACTTTGACACACTTTACTATTGGATGGATTTTTGGTTTGAAAAGAATTTCAGCATGTTCTTGCAAACAAATAAAAGAGCAGATAAGTTATGAATGGAAGCGCAAATGGTAACTCATCTTTCCAGGCTTCCATCCATGAACCAACTTTCACTTTGCAGGACAATAAGAATTTCAAGAACTTGCAACATCATAAAATAAAGGCAGACAACGATCCAGATGTTAAAGCTGATTGTTTCTTAAATATAAAAATCCATTCATACACACACATAGGTTTTCATTTCTTTTGTTGTTTTTAGTATTTTTTTTGTTAATTATTTTGCTTCACATAATTCTTTTACCGTGTAAATAAGTTACTGATGTTGCAACATTGGGTAATTAAAAGGGAGGAAGAAAATCACCTCAAAATCAAACATACCAAAAGCCTTTTTAAAAATGTTTATTTTTTTGTAGTAATTTCCTGCTTTATCATCACAAGGCTAGCTTTCAGCTTAAACTGCACAATGACCTGCAGCTTTTAACTTTAACTTTTCTGTCCTTGTCTGTGTATGTAGGTCGCAGCGGGTTGGCCTGGCTGGCCTGTGGACCCCATTTGGAGGTGGTCCATGCAGTGACAGGAGAACGGCTGTCTGCATACTGCTTCAGTGGCGGAGGGGAGCACCCACCCAATGTCCTTGCCGCCAGAGACTTCAGCTGGCTGAAACGGTTCGGGCTGTATTTCATGATTTATTTGGCTCATTTGGATGTGGATGTAATCAGTGAAAGTTCACTATGAAGTGCATACATAATAAAAATAATGACAGTGCAAATGTTAAGTCCTCTGCTGGTTAATTTTAACAGGTCTGGTTTGCTGGTTGGCTTGGAGGAAACAGAAGGCAGCGTGCTGTGTCTTTATGACTTGGGACTGTCAAGAGTGGTGAAGGCTGTTGTCATACCAGGCAGAGTGGGTTGACCATAGTTTTTACTATTTTAACATTTAGACTCAAGTTTCTAGAACTTTAGTTAACGTGAACATTTTCTGTTTTTCTTTTCTAAAACGCTCTTGCATCTAGATCACAGCTATTGAGCCATTAGTGAATTATGGCGGAGCAAGCACGTCAACACAACACCTTCACCAGGGTTTGCGCTGGTTCTTTGGAATTGCGGCCGTAGTAACGGATCTCGGTCACGTACTCCTTGTGGACCTCTGTCTCGATGATCTTTCCTGCAACCAGAGTGAACTTGATGCTTCAGGTGAGAAGTTTCAATGAGGAGGTGATGTGTAGTATGCTTTCATACTTTTGTGGATGTCTGTACTTTCTGTTCCCATTTCACCTTTTCATTGTATGCAAACATATTCTGGTAACTAAAGATTGTCCTTTTTTTTCTTAAAGAATCTCTCCCTTTATATTTATTCTGTTTGCAGACCTGCAGGTAGTGACTAAATCTCCTGCAGAAATCCCCAAGCTAAGAGAAGTCAGCACAAGAGAGGGCAGACATCTTTGTCTCCAGCTGAATGGACCCAGTGGAGTTGGAGCCACAGCTCTGCAGTACATCTCTAGGACCAACCACCTGGCAGTAGGATTTTCAGATGGATACTTACAGCTGTGGAACATGAAGACTTTAAAGAAAGAGTGAGCGCTAGTATTTCTTCCGACTTCTATCCGTAGACTTTGTGTAAAAGATGTGTTTATTTTGCAAGTTGTAGTTCCCACTAGAGTCAAAACAGTAAGAATAGCATGTTTAGCATATATTTATATTTATATTTATATTTGCCTTTCTTCCATTGTTTATTGCAGATACCACTCACAGTTAGAGGGTGGCAGGGTGCCTGTATATGCCTTCACTTTCCAGGAGCCAGAGAACGACCCCAGGAACTGCTGCTACCTCTGGGCAATCCAGTCTTCGCAGGATCTGTAAGTTTTGCCTTTAACTCTGCTTTAGCTTACAAACAAGTATTTTTAAGAACTGCTTCCAGCCAGACTGTGTGTGTGCATTTGTTTGTTTGTGTTTATTTCAAGTTCTTATTTTCCTCTGCATCCTTTTACTCCCACACAGTGAGGGAGACGTGGTCACCCTGCGCTTGCTTCAGTTGGCCTTCAGTGAAAGAAAGTGTTTAACTTCTGGAAAGATCCTCTATGAGGTCTGTATTGCATATAAGAAATAAATGTATATTGATTTCAAATAGTGAATCCTATACTGGGCAGATCCCAGCAAATGCACAGTGTATTCCTCATACTAACTATTAATAACTGTTACATCCTTTTTTAAAACATTTTTTTTATCTTACACTCACACAGGGTCTCGAGTATTGTGAGGAACGTTACAGTCAGGATTTAAGTGGCACGGCTTTCCCTCTCCGGGCACAGGCCACAAACACCCGCCTCCTGAGCTGCCAGACTATTGAGAAATTCAGACCTCATCCTGACAGGGACGACAGCATGAATGAAGGTATTTAAAAGCACCGAACCCTTCTTTACACAGCGTATCTAAACTTTATCGTCTTTATTACTTTCTTCAATCATTTCACACCACACTTTTCATCTATCCTCTGTTCTTTCCCTTTCCAGTTGCATCTCCAGACACCAGTGTGTCCATCTTTACCTGGCAAGTCAAGGCCTACGGCCAAGGAAGTCTGTCTACCTACATCGGGGTTTTTGACATCAACCGCTGGTACCACGCACAAATGCCAGACTCTTTAAGGTACAATGGAAAGTGATTTCAAAACATTTGTTGTTGTGTTTTAGTTTTTTATTTTATGCATGTTTTAGTTTAGTATATTAATGTAATGCATTTTTGTACTCGTTGTTTTATGGCAGAACGGGAGAGTCTCTGCAGATGTGTCCATACCTTGCTGCTTGGTCTCTGGATCCAGTGGTGCAGATGGTATCTCCACATGTCTTCCTAGATGTGGTGGTACATGAGCGCAGCCTGAGCAGGGGCCTTCCCTTCACTTGCCCTCCACCAGAACAGTACTTTAACCCCACCACTTATAACTTTGGTAGGTTTAACACAACACATGCACCACAGCCTTGGCTTGGAAACATGCAAAAATGTAAGCTTGTATTAGCCTCTAAAATGCTTCTTTTTGAATTATAATATGACAAATGATTTTGGTTTGCTTTTCTCCCTCTCTCTTCTTCCTTTCTTCCATTTCAGATGCTACTTGTTTGCTCAACTCTGGAATTGTGCACTTAACATGCTCTGGGTATCAGAAAGAGGCAAGTTTCTTGTTGTTCACCTCATCATTGTTTTGGGTTTTTTTTGTTGGTGTTGTTTGTTTTCTTTCTCTCTCTCTTAAATATATAGGCATACATTGAAGTTAAACTTATTTTAAATCCACAATCATTTCATTTTTGTCATTAAAACCAGACCCTGGGTTTTTTGAAGAAAGCTGCTCCTTGTTCCAGTGACATCATCTCCACTAGCTACTCTCACTGCCTTATGTCCGGCCTACTTTCATCCCGTCTGGCTGACACCCAGCCATCCAGCCTGTCTCAGGTACATGCAGACTTGTGAGCGTCACGTGGACCCCACTTTTTTACTTCCTCTTTTTGCATAGATTATTTGAAAAAAGATTTTCTTAAAAATTTACAAGTGAAATATTCATTATTTTTTTATTCGTTTGTATTCTCATCTTTGTTCTTCAGGAAGAGCAGCTTGATGCCATCTTGTCTACAGCGGTGGAGACTAGTTCCTTGGGACTGATAACTGGTTGCATTAAGCAGTGGACTGCAGAAGGTACAACTAAAAATAAGATTTATTTAAACTGCTCATGTCACCCAGTTTCACGGCATACATGATAGTTATTCACAAAGATACATTTACCTGTTGCATACTTGTATGTTCTATTAAATCTGTGCTAAACTCTTCTCTGTACAAATTGTAACCACCTATATTGATGTTAACGCCTCCAAATTCTCTTCTCCTTCAACAGAACAACCAGGCTCTGCATTGAATCTGCGCTACATCCTGGATTGGGCCTGGAACAAAGTAGTTCAGACCAAGGAGGAACTGGATGGCATCTGTATGTTTTTTTTTTTTTGTTTGTTTGTTTGTTTGTTTTTGTTTTTTAAACATGTTCTATTAAATTAGAAAGTTACTTTTACAAACCGGATGTTTAACTACATTTCAAAAGTTTCTCAACCTTCAATGTGTACTAGTGATAAACTAAAACTATATGTGTATAAATCTTCTCCATTCCCTTTAATACATTTGAATAGATTTGAATTCATATGTTTGCATAACCCATCTGTGCAGCACCTTTCATTAGATACCGGTACATGTTTGCTCTATTCCTTGTCAGAATTTTACATTATTTGTGAATGAATATTTATTTATTTATTTATTTACATTCCTGTGCTTGTGTTTGCAAATGTATTTTTAATAGATCCATTCATGTGATCCTCTGCAGGTTCACCGCTGTTTGACAGCTCATCTAACTTCACAGACCCTCAGACCATGCAGCTGCTGCAGCACACTCAAAGACTGCTGAGTAACCTCAGTGCCATTTTCCACTGTCTGCTCAGTGAAACTCAGGAGCTCACACAAAAAGGTGCCCTGTCCACACAGTTGCATGTACAACTTTTATATTTTGCTGTCGTGTTGTTGAAACTGCTTTAACTGACATGTCAACACATATTGGTACTTATTGGTACTTTTAAGTTGTAATGCGATATCCTTTGATTAGTTTTGTTTAGAAAGCTTTTATGAAGTTTAGCCATTTGTGTATTTTGATTGGTTAGCTCTTCTGGCCGAAGGTCCAATGAGCACTGTACCTTAAAAGTCTCCATCCAGCCACAAGAATTACTACTCCTCCTGGAGTGTTGATCAGATTTTAGTGAATCTTTGACTTTGTCCATGACTACAGGTCCATATCTAGAGTAGAATAACTAAAAGTAGAATAACTGCTGCCGTAGTGTGGTCAACAACCTTATTTAATGGACTGCAAAAAATGCCTGCAGTTCTTTTTATTGATTTATCAAAGCCTTTTGACACAGTTGTGGTTTTGGTGTAGGGAGATTATTTTGTCCCGAGTGTGACCTGCATTTGTGATCCAAGGAAGAGAATGGATGGATGGGATTTTGATTTTCATTAGATTGTGAAATAGAGCCAAACAGTGATGACAACAACATATACAACACTTTCTTTTCATACTTTACACTTTGTAATAAACTATGATTTGTCATGGATCGTGAGCTCCTTTGTCACTAACATTCATTTATGTTCTTGTTTCAGGTCTGGTGGGTTTAATGAACAAGAATATGGTGTCCAGTCTCATCTCCAAGTATGCTCAGGTGGTCCTTTGGTTCTGTCGTACTGGCTTGCTCCCTGAGGGTTCAGGTAAAGTGATGCTGTCATACGTAATCTGAAAATGTATCAAATGAAACCCCTATGAAAAAATGGAAAAGCATATATTTTTCAAGAGAAACACATTTAAGACCAATTAACAACGTGTCACTAAATAAGTGAATATAATAAATGTGAGAGCACTTAAAAAAACGACTGGTTTTGTTTATTTCTGCAAAGAAACATGTCCGTTATAACTAACCCCTGGTTATTTAAGCAAACAAGGAGGACTAGGTTCTTGGAGTAACTAGTCCACATGTCTTCATTAGTTTGTTTATTTGAACTTTATTTTCAAATTATTTGCAACGACTAGAAAATTATTGCTGTATTTATTTAAAAAAATTTTCTCCTTACTTTACTAGATGATGATGCTCTTCAGATTTCCAGGCCTTTCTATACTCACTCGGTCATCAGCAACTATTACACCATACGCAGGGAGGAGCTGACCAGGCTGGCCAAGTGAGTAACAAAAGGAGTTTGGGTGTACATGCATTAAAATCTAGGCCTCCTTTATAACAAACGCAAACGTCTATGAGATGTGCCCGTTCCAGGTTTACGAGTTGTCTCCTGTTTTCCTTTGATTATGCTGACCACCTGCTGTTTTCTCAGGGGCAAGTGGTGCGCAGACTGCCTGATGATCGACGGTTTAGTTGGCCAGTGTGGCGAACGCTTGACGAACCTGTGGAAAAGGGATGAAGGTGGAACGGGGCAATACCCACCACCTACACTGCATGTAAGAATTTAAATCTATATTTTACTTTATTCATTTTATTTTTAAACAAACAATACTTATTATTTAATATGCTTTTATAATTTTTAAGATTCTCAATTGTGTGATTTGCAGGCATTGCTTGACATATATCTGCTGGACAACATTGATGAGGCTGCAAAACATGCGATTGTATCCTTCAACTCATACTGTCTGTTTACAGAATCATATATCTTCAGCATGTATGCATTTTAACACTATATACACAACTGTTAGATTGTTAGTGATTATTTTTAGTCCACTAACTTCAGTCAACTTCAGTAAATATTAACACAGATGACCATCTTAAGCATTAATTTGAACTAGCAAAACAGGCTATCATCATTTGTTTATTTCACTCATGTATTCAAACATTTTCACTTTATAGAGTGAGATGGTGAAAACGCTGTTCATATTTTCATATCTTTATTCTTATGCTTTGTATGCTACACATTCATTGTATATCCTCCTGAGAACTGAAGGAAAAAAGTATCTTTCAGTTTAATTTTTATTGTCCACTGCAGACGACATAATGAATTGGTCGGGTCTCAGGAGGATATGACAAAGTAATGAATTATAGGCACTGTTATGCTGCTGTTTAAACACTTATTTACAGTTAGACAATACATTCCAGTGACCCTAAAGTGGCAATGCACTAAAAATGTATTTACAAACAACAACATACACATAACATAGACCTAATGTTGCAGTTAATTTTGATTTAAATTTTATTCCAAATAATATATATAGTTTCGACGGATTTGAGCGATTTATAAAAATAGTTCCCAGTGGCTATATTGACGTTGATAATCCTGCTATCCCAGGTAGTTTATATGGTATATTTCATCAGCACATCTAGAAATTGGGGGAACGGACACACGCTGTGATCATTATAGTGAGATTTTAACTTGATTCCTTTTGCTTGTATGAGCCTTGACCTGTTGTTCCAGGTGATTTACCTCTTGTTAGATGTCATGTACTCCTTCCCCAATAAGGACGGCGCATCAGTGGAGTCTTTCCCCACAGCTTTTGCTATCCCTATTGGACTCATTAAACTAGTACAAGGCCTATGGCTCCTGGACCATCATGACCATCAGGTAAAAGCATTGATTGGAAACCATTATTATGCATCGTAAGCAATAGAAAAGAATGGGTTTGCGTGCTGCGTCCTATGTGAAAAGGCCTTTGCTTACTCAGAGACATGTGCATGTATAATCAGACCTCATGATGTGACAGGTTTTTTTATGTTCATCCTTCAGTAAGTGTAATGTTAATTCCTTCGTTTTTTCCTCATCAGAGTTCGTTTGAGCTTCTTTTGCACCCAGCCGCTTCTCAGTTTCACTTTGAGTGGCAGCATGAGCGCATTCTGCAAGCGCTGATGTGCCAGGGCCAACAGTCAGTGGCTCTACGATACTTCCATGTCACAAAACCTGCGGTTTCCAACACTTCACAGGCCAAGCTTTGCCTGTCTGTGCTGTTGCACAACAGGTACGTTTAATGCATTAAAGTATTTATTAATTCATTTAATCTCTTTACAAGTATGCAGCAGCTGCTTGATCTTCATTAACCAATCTGTTTGCCCTCCCGCCAGGTGTCTCATAGAAGCATGGTACCTCCTCCGGCAGCACTCTAATCGCCTCAACATGACTGAGCTGCTCGGTTTCCTGTATGAAAGCTGCCAGGAGTTGGGCCTCATCAAGGAGCTGCTCAAGCTGCCCCTGGGCCTCAATGAACAGGTAGAGAGATGGTGAAAGCACTGATAAAAAGTTGGTTGTGAGATTTCTGATTTGTTTTCTTATTTATTTATTTTTAATTACATTGTAATTGTTTCACCTTTGTATTTTTAAATTATTGCTTAAATCCCTGGTTATTGGTTTGTGTTTTAGGAATGTTTGGAGAAGTTTCTCCAGGGGACAGGTGGTCTCCAGAACAGAGAACTACTGATGGTTCACTACCTTCAGCAAGCAAACTACATCCCTGCTCTGCAGCTCAACCACACCCTGAGAATGAACTTAGTGGTATGTTTGACATATAGAAGCTAATAAAATGGAAATGGTAGAAATTCTGTGACTATTAGATTTATATAGAAATAAGCTTTTTCTAACCATGTTCTCTTGTTTGTGCTTTTGTTTTTTAATCATAGAACGAACGAGACCCAAAGCTTAAAGAACGATCCAACACCAGGAACACCATCCTGGATCTGTATGGCAAAGTTTTGCCGAGAGTTCAGAGGAAACTGGCAATGGAGAGAGCTAAGCCCTACCAACATCCCAACACCATCCACAGAGAAGGTAATGAGACGCTTCATGTTTGTAGCAGTTCACCTCAGTGGAAACCTGTTTTCACAGGAGTGTGTTGAAGCATTTACAGAGTATCATAATAATCCCGAAGAGGCTTATTCAGCAAATGCACACATGTTTTTTCTTTCTCTGTCCCAGTGTCCCGGCCACAGCCACTGTCAACCATCACCAAACACACTGCTAAAGAGAAGGTAATGTCCAGGGCTGGTTTTATCAACAATGTCCTGAGCAAGATTGAAGAAGTGTGGTTAGGCAAAGGAGCTACACCACAGTGCTCTCCTGCTAACAGGTCAATATAAAATACCAAAATTGCATCTTGAAATTAACTTTTTTTTTTTAAATTTTTTTTGCATTTTGATTTATTTAATTTGCTTATTGCAAATTGTTGCCTGGTCATTTTTTCCAGCCCCAGGGCAGCTGAGGTTCCTAGCTCTAGCCCTAAGCCATCCTCCATTGGCCTTCCTGAACCATTCCTTGGAACTCCAATCACCATGACCTCCAAACGAAAGTCAAGGTACATCAGTGAAACTGAATCGTATAATACAGATTTTACCGATCATGAGGGGGAAACGTTGATATTAACTTGACGTGTTTGTCCATCTGGCACAAAGTTGACTTTCTAATTAATTTTTTCATTTCTTATTTTATAAAGATGTTAATATTAAAATATGTTGTATAAATATTAAAATATCTGGTTATTGTACTCAATGTTAAATTTTGGTAAGACAGTATCCTAAATTCATGTTTGTGTTCCTCCTCCCAGGCTGATCGATTTGGTGGTTCGTCCTTCCTGTCAAACACCTCGGCCTCTTCTCAGCCCTCCCAGACCTCCCAGTGCCTGGGTTTCACCCAAGAGTGTTAGCAAAGCACCTGAACTCTGTTTGCTGCAAACACCTCAGGTTGTCAAGGTCAGTAGATGAATTTAGAATTGCTTGTTGTTATGTAGTCCAGGATTACAGTATTCATATTTTCTATGCTTTTTGTGATATTTAATAGTTTATGATAATACTGTGGAGTAACTTTAGTATTTTGTTGCTCACACTTTTCATGTGTTTTCCTCGTCAGCGAGCCCGGGCCTTGGCTGCTTCTGGCCCAGTCTTCTCAGCCTTCACTCCCCAGTCCATCCTGCGCAGCAGCCTGAGGCCCACACCCGTTGCCACGCCTTCTGCTTCACCAGGTCGCTCTATTACACCTCCTATCCGCAGCAAAGAGAACCGTATCACCTTTATTGAAGAGTCAGAATCCCCAGAAGTTGAGAAGGGCATCCGATGGACTAATGGAGTAAGAAAAAAAAGGCACACGTGGAACACACAGAACCTCTTTTTTCCATTTGTGAGGTTGCAGCTAATTTTAGCTGAGCATGTTATTAGGGGAACCACTTTTTTTTTTTTTTTTTTGTAATTATCTTAAACAAGAAAAAAAAACAAATTGTGGATTATGATGGTCTAATAAATAAACTGTGTCTTCCAATCATCTGTTTTTTCTGTAGATGGCAGCAGACAGTGAGATTAGTCTGCTGACCAGAAGCTCGGCACTGTCCAAGGCCACACGTAAGACCTGGTCATTACAGCCTGCTGAAGAGGAAGAAGATGGAGATGAGGAAGGGGAACAACCACGTGTAAAGTTCTTGCCTCCAGAAGGTGGAATTTCCTCTCCACAGCTGAAACGCTCCGAGAGCGAGTTATCCTCCGCCCTTGAAGGCGCTGCAGAACAAAAACAATCGGATGCAACACAAACACATCTTAGTTTTAACCTTGACACCAGCACAACATCTGTTCGGTCAACAGACACCACTCTAGAGTATTTTGATGCTCCTCTTTCAATAAACAATGAGGAAAAGGATGGACATGTCAGTACAGAGAAAGATGATGATGATGTAGTGACGGTGAATGTTAAATTCTTGGCTGAAAAAGAACCCGCGGCAACAGCCGAGGTAATGGCCTCACCAGCAACTGAGCAAACCCTTCCTCTGACGTCAGAGGATTCAGAAAAGGAAGAAGATGACGTAAGGGAAGAAAATACACCAGAGGATGTGATGGAAGTTGATCTTGACCAGGAGGCTAAAACTGAGGAAGAAATTCAGTCTAATAAAGAAGATGATCTGGACGTTGAGTCAAGCACCAAGCAAGATGCTGCCATTGTTGACCAAAACGAGACATCTATTCATCTTCAAGGTAATTTATTCTTATTTATTTTTATAGTTTGTTTTTTCAGAACTGATTTTTGGAGCAGGTTGCACTGCACCGAAATCCAAAATCATGATTTTGACAATACGTTTGGCAATACTTCCCTCAAACATTGCTTGACAAAACATGTATTCTACTAGATTGTAACCAGGGAACTGACAGCGCAGACTCTAGCACTGACGCTGAATCTCAAGATCTCCCAGTTAGAGACGAGGGCCGGGATGTCCAATCAGAGAGCACAGAGTTCAGCGAGCATGCTGAACCTCCTGGAGTAACTGAAACGACAAGTGAAGAGGCAGATCTGGAACAATCAACAGGTCCACATTTCAACTTATTAATCTATATTGTAACTGATAAAGTTAAACGATTTTACCACATTAGATTAGACTGTAAGGATTCATGATACTCGAGGTGGTAAAAGGTGTGAAGAAAGTCTTCTAAAAATTGTTAAAGACATACTAATTACTTTTATCTGTTGGTTTCAACCAAATGTTTTCAAATTAAAATTACTTCAGATTCCAGATTTTTATTATATTGAATAATGATTTTTTTCTTGGGCAACTACATGGTAATGATGGTGATTACTGTCTTTTTGTGTTGTTTCTTTAAAGTTTAATAAAGTTGCTGTTTTTCCTTCCATCAGATCTGACAGAGTTTGTTCAGAGGCATCTGTTTGGTAGCGATCTGTCTCCTCCACTCACCCGCTCAGCAATCCACAATACATCACAGAACCAGCCTTCCTTCAACAGGTAAACATCAAAGAAACAAGAGAGTCGTTTTTACTCATAGCTACGAAGGAGTATTTAGGGTCACATTAAGAAAAGAAATATTATTGATCATGTTGAGAATAAAGTCAAAATTCTGAGAATTAAAATTGCTATAGGCTCTGAGTTATTGAAATCATACTTCAGAATCGGTTTTAGTGACAAGGAAGGAAATGATGTCTCTTTTAGCACATTAACACAGCAGGGTGATCAGTAGTGGCGCAACGGATCAAAAATCTCACGGTTCGGATCGGATCACGGTTTTAAGTCACGGATCGGATCAATTTTCGGATCAGCAAAAAAAGAAAAAGACAAAATTTTAACATTTACTTATTAACTTATTTAAGTATATTTTGCCTATTAAAACATTCAACTCAAGACTCATTCCACGGAATTATATAAAATCAAATTAAGGTGCAGTATAGGGCAGGGCTTTGTATCTACCACTCCGCTGTGATATAATGAGTGGTCACAGTCACGTGGCTTTCCGTTGACCTGGAGGTCCACCCATTTGTAGTTGCGCAATAGAAGATGCCTGGGACAGTTCAGCCATAACTTTAAACTTTTCCTGCTCATACATGCCTGGGTACGATCTTGTCACTGAAGTGGACGTGCAACAGGATATCATAGCGTGGCTCAAGCACGTTCATCATAGTTTAAACCCCTTGTTTTGTACAAGGGAATACGGCCTCCCGTCTGCAGCTAAACACCCCAGTAGCTTTTGTAATAGCTTTAGCCCGGTCGGAGTGGGCAGCAAAGGGCTGCTTAAGTGCCGCAAACTCCTCTGCTCCTCCACTTGGACCGCTAGCGCTGGCCATAACGATCGCTTGACAGACTGACCACGCGCACCATACACATACTTTTTTTTTTTCTTCTTTTTCGAATCTTCGGATCACGTGCGTACCGAACCGTGGAGTGGGATCGGTTCGGATTACGGATCAACCGTGATCCGTTGCACCACTAGTGATCAGTATAAGGACGCTGAAAAGATGGTGCAGTCGGAAAAACACAAACTTGCAAGAGTGGGTTGGTAATGGACAGTTGTGAGGTTAGCGACTGTTAGACCCTTGTGCAATAAAGAGGATGTATGTTGTATCACAAGACGGCTGATCAATTTGTTTCACTAAATGCTCTAAACAAACAATTTTGTAGAGGATGTAGCAAACGTGGCAGTTTGCACATTTCAGCTTTATTCTCAAAATGATCAATGATATATTTTTTTCTTGATGTGGCCCTTATACACCTCCGTACATAACCCATAAGGATACGATGCAATAAAGATTAACTGTAAAACCGATCATACTAGATTTTTAGTCGTTGGTTCAAACATTCAGTTCTGTGTTTTTTTTACCAGAGGAGAAGGAAATGTCTTTAGGAACATAACTTGTTTCATTTGCTTAAGTACTGAATTGTTGTTTTGGTGCCAGGACCAAAGCTGTAGTTTATCCAGGTTTTGAGAATTAAATCTTGACTGTTCTAAAGGAACAAGAATGATCACAATCTGTTTACCAATCGGTGTACTGCTAGCATGAGTTTGTTTCACAGTAGGATGTTATGTAACTCGGTCTTGTTGTTTTCAAGAAGTTAAAAATGGCTGTTGTTCTCACTCTCTCTCAGTGAGCCTTTAGGTAAAGATGAAGAGGAGACGCAGGCCGATGCTGAAGCTCCCCCGATGTTTACCACCCAAAAGTCTGCTGCTTCTGTAACCTCCTCAGAGCCAACTGGCACCGATTCCCACTGTGAGGAAAACTGTACACGCATTTCACATCAACAGTGGTGCTATTAATATTACAGTGCTGTTTTACAAATTTCTTCTCTGCTTCTGTTTAATATCTCATAGCTGTTGTGAGCGTCAACGACAGTGAAGACCTTTCTAGCTCTGGGTCTGAAGACGAGGAGGATGAAGATGAGGAGGAAGTGTCAGACCAAGAAGATGAGGAGGAGGAAGAGGAAGAAGAAGATTCTGGTAGTGAGGTGGAGATCATTGAGGAGGTCCCGGGTACTGACAAGCTGCCATCCCTCCAACCCAGTCCATCCTTTGTACAGCAGAGCCACACACACTTCTTGCAAACACAAGCGGAGCAGGAGGCTGCTGTGTTGTCTCTGATCACCCCAAATGCAGAGATGAAGGTAACAAATGTAGGCCTGAAGGGTTTTGTGTGTCGTGTAGTAGATGGTATACAATCTGAGCAAGTGGAAATTCATTTGATTATTTTAAAAATGTAGTCATGTTGTAAATATTTAGACACATTTGAGACTTTTTCATTTGAGGATTTTTTTTCATTTTCGTCAGACAGAACAAAATGTTTGAATACGTCTTGTTTGTTTTTTAATTTTGTACTTAAAATCTTTCATAAAAACTCACTTTCTGTGTTTGCTTATTTATAGATGGTAGATGAGGACATAGAGGGTGAAGTGGTTATGGTGAGACTTGGGGCAGATGATGGAATGATGGATCCAGATGAAGCGGTAGAGCAAGGATCGCCATACATGGAGCTCAAACCTTCTACCACCCTTTTGGTACCCGTGGAGCTCGTGGAGGGACAGCACGGCCTGGTTGATGGAGCTCAGATGGATCTTCCTGAGCTTCGTCCAACTGTTGTGGCTGATGAAAGTCACGGCAGTTTCTCCTTGATGTTGGATGTGGATGAGGATGGAGATAAAGGGATAGGCATACTACCTATGGAGAATAATTTGCAATTGTGTGACCCTTCGATTCAGTATCAGGTTATGGATGCTAATGAAATTCTGGCCAAACCTGAGGTTATTCTTTTGAGCACAGAGGACCAGGATACCACCCAGTGTGAAGAAGCCTCACAAGAAGAGATTGAAACGGTTGATGGGAACTATATAGATGGCACAGAAATTGTTCAACTCCAAGCTGACTTTGAAACTGAATCTACTGAAGCAAACCAAGAGTCAGATAATGCTAAAAAGCAGAAGGCTGCAGAGTTGGTAATGTTGACTGAAGACCATGAGTCTGCTGCTGTTTCAGTCTCTGTCCCAGCTACATTGGAAGAATGTCTTGCAGCTGTGGAATCTCTGGCACAGGTAGAAGCTGCTGATGTAGCAGTGGAAGCAAAGGACAAACACCATCCTGCTGAGGAGCGGGAAGAGCCTGAGGAGAATGGCACTAGTGCAGAAACGGAGGAGAATGGCACTAGTGCAGAAACGGAGGAGAATGGCACTAGTGCAGAAACGGAGCCTATCACGGAAGAAGAGGAGCTGCAGGACCGCAAATCATCAATGGAGGCAGATGAGGAAAAAGATGAAGAAATTAAAACGGAGAAGGAAACGCAGCAGATAGGTGAGGGAAGCACGAGAACAGATGAAAGTGTTGAAGAGAAACCTGTAAAGCAGGCTTTGAGCTTAAACCGTGAGCTGGATGAAGAGCCTGTACAAGAGCCTACTACCTCTCAGAGGAAGAAGACTCCTTCCACTCCAACACGCAGGATGACGAGGGGGAGGATGGTAACTTTTATCTCTCCTCTGTCAGAGGAAGCAAATGAGCCAGAGGACGACAGGGAAATGGAGGACACAAAAACAAGCACTCTGGTCCCTGCGTCACCGAGTCGTACACCTAGGAAAGGTAAACAGGCTAAAGAAACCAAAGTCCCAGCCAGCACACCTCGAAGAAGTACCCGCAAAACACAGCCAGAGCTTCCAAAAGAAGAGGATGAAGAGGTTGAGGTCATGGATAACAATACTTCAGTTGCGTCAACCTCCAAGGCATCGTCTCCATCCAGACGTTCGCAGAGGGTGGCTGCAACAAGGACCAGTCAAAGGACTCAAAGTGGCAGTGAGGTGTCTACAGCCACAGATGATGAAGTCAAACACGAGGAGGAAGTTAACGTAATAAAACCAAGTCGACGAACAAGCTCAAAGATTCCAACCCCATCCAAACACGCAGCATCTCAGGTAAAGACTCCGAGGAGGTCCAGCCGAAGGATTACGAGTAGCACAGAAGTGGTGGCGACGCCGCTTGAGATCGTGAAAGAAGAACACGAACAGGATGAGGTGTTTGCCTCTCCTGTAAGACGGAGCTCCAGAAGGACAAAGACGGAAGCATCAGAGACTTTGTCCACTGTGCTGGAGAAAGTAGAAGACAAAGAAGAGCAGCTTCCTAGCCCTGGCCGGACAACTCGACACTCAAGCCAGATTAGCCTAACTGTATATCCACAGGTAAGAATTCAGAAAGCTATCTATAATCTGTAAAACTGATATGCTGAACCTTGTAGATTATATTTATTTAACACCAGGACTACAAAACTGCACAGATTATGTTTGCAGATAGGCTGCTCAAGTATGATCTTAATATTTGAAGCATATTTCAAGAAAAAATGCTTTTATTTTCATTTTTGATTTTCACCTCTAGTTATCATGCATGCATTTTTATATATATATTTTTTCATATTACATGTTGCAATCCCAATCCATCCATCGTTCATTTTTTACATTTAACATTTCCAGGTGAAACTGGTTCCTGTGTCGCTTTCTAAGAGTCCAGAAAAGACACAAGGAGAGACGACTGCTGAAAACGCAACAGAGACAGGAGATTTACACGAGCCCGAACCGCCCAGAAGTGCGAGTCGAACCAACTCCCATCGCCCCACTAGAAGCAAACTTTGGGACCACCCAGAGGAAGATCTTCCCCTTTTGGACTCACCGTTGGAGGTGGACTCTAAGACTCCTGTTGCTGATGCCCTTATCAAGAGACTTAAAGATGAGGAAGAGAAGCAGGAAGGTATGAATTTAACTTAAAATATGGCTGTGTGGGAGAAGAAAAGAACAGTCGGTGTGAAGCTGTATGTACCAACGAGTTCAAATTAGTGAAGATTACAAAGAGACTGAATTTATTCTACTGCATGCTGGTTTAACTTGTATGATGTGCATGTAGAATTCAAAATGTGTTGATCTAAAAGTGTAACCTCTTAAACAGATGATGCCATGGTTAAGAAGGCGCTGAGAACAAGCAAGAGGAGTAAAAAGTCATCAGTGGAGCAGGTTCACTCCCCGGGGAAAGACTGGCTGGTCCCACAACCTGAGGATGATGAATCCATTCCAGGCGAGAATTCATTCATCTATTCCCCCTCGCGAAGACGAACAAGAGGTGAGCCGAGTATCAGTTTCTTCATATTTATTTATTTTGCTGTAAATGGTTGTAACCCTTTGTTGTGTCTGTGTCAGCCCGAAGAGCAGATTCCTCTGAACAACGTGAGGCGCCCGTCACTCGCAGCAGAGTCAAAGTGCAGGTAGGAACTTCAACTTTGTTCACACTTGATTTCTTTTTCTATCCTAAAGATAACGAATCTTTTTTTCTTTTTTTTCCTCTTTGCATTTGTTTATTTTGTTTTTATCTATCTCCCCCGTCATAGTTATTCTATCAGTTATGAGCCTTTGAACCAGGATGTTGGACGCAGCACACACACAAGAGTTTAAACCACTGCTCTATAGAAGCTAGATAACTAAGGGTTGTAACAGAAGTACTGATGAATGAAATGAAAGCTCTTTTGAAGATGCCATTTTTCTCTTTTTTTCCAGAATGAAATGTCTTCAGAAGATAATGTAGAAGTCGAGAGAGACGCAGGCGCTACTAAAAGCAGCAAAACAAACAAGCGTACTGCCAAGTAAGAAACTACATCCTACACCGAAACACGGGCAAAAATACAGCATCATAAAATGAAAGTAAACTATAGATGGATATATCTAGTTATCTGTCATAGATAGAGACAGAGAGATATATAGATATAGAGAGATAGATCTAGATAGGTGCAGGAAATGCCGCATATATATAAAGTAATGTTCATAAATAGTAAATGGAGGCTGAGGTTTCCTGTTACAAGTCTGTACTGTGGTGGTGTTAATGACAGAGTTAGCAAAACAAGTAAAAATACTTGCATACACAGGTCACAAAGAAGGAAAATTTATTATTATTATTATCAATTATTTAATTTATATTCATGCGTTTGTCATTTGTATCTGTGTATTTTTCTATTTTGTTTATTTAACATCTATATCAGAATCAGAATACTTTATTGATCCCTAGGGGAAATTATTTTTTTGTTACAGTGCTCCATTATAAACAAACATTAACAAAGACAGAGAATACACTAACTAAGAATAGCACAGTATATACAGGCATATATATACATAAGTCACATATTAATAAGTAGCTGAAAAAGAACATGTGCAAGAAGGGTGTAGCTGTTGCAGTAAACAGTGTGTTAAGTGGATGAGTTGCACAGGGAGATGGCCACAGGCAGGAATGATTTCCTGTGTCTTTCAGTGGTGCTTTTCGGTAATCTGAGTCTTGGCATTAATACGGATTATACATCACATTGGCAGGTTTTTATTTTAACTGAAATTTCCATCCCCCCAGATCCAAAGCTGTCGCAACGCCGCTTCCCTTTGCAGAAGTCGTGCTGATCTCGCCTCTGCCCAGTCCAGTCGATTCGATGCCACGAGCACCGAGGAGGGTTAAAGAGGGAGAGGAACCGACCACCAGCAGGAACCTTCGACGTAAACGTGTCTTGGACACAGTTTTTACAAAACCTGTCACGCGGAGGAAGAAACTGTAGGAAGGTTCACGGCGGTTTTTAACCAGTGAACCTCAGACGGCCGCATGGACATTTCAACCACCTCAGCTGTGAGCTGTCAAATAAAAATGTATGCCCGAACTCGAGACGGTCGCATTTCCTCAAAAGCCTCACAGCGCTGCAGATTCAAGATTGACTTCCCTGTTGGGAGGAAATCAAAAAAGCAATGCAGGCAGAAAAATCTATTTTTGGGACAAGGCACGCTGGTGGTTAGCAGCGTGTGAGAGACTATATTTTTGGAGTTTACATGTACTTCTTTAACTTGATTTCATTCGCTTTTACGTCTGTGGCCATTTTGTGCTCGATGTTCTGCTGCAGCCCTCGGCCTGATTCTCTCCACGCAGAATGACTCAAGGGAAAGCAATCATTGTGGATTTTTAAAGGCTCCCATTAATACAACCAGAGACTGAAACGAACTTGCCTCTGATTTAAAGAGGTTTTATTTACATTCTTTTAAAATTTGTTGTTGTTTTACTTTTAAAAGTTCAAGGCCTGCTGTTTTTTCTATTTAAGAAGAAAAGCAACCAACCCAGTGGAGATACATTTCTACTGCTAAATTTGTATATAGTCTTTTGGTTTTTTGCTATGTTCCAAATAAAGTTAATAAATAAATAATAAACAGTTATGTTGATTCTGAATTTTCAAGTGTCTCTTGAATGCATTTGGTCATCTAATCATACTGCCTATGCCCTAGTCTTAAATTAAACTTGATTTAAGAGATATTCTGTGAAAGACAGCACTGTTAGCACGTTTGGACTGTAAAATGTTATGGGGTGTTGTATATTGTCTAAAACACAAAACAAACTTGCACAACAGTTTGCTTATGTAAAACTTGATTTGGGACATGTTAATAGGTTTGATTAAATTCATCGTAATCAACATCTGACACATAGGCTATTTTCTCATGAATGTAGTAGAATGTCTTATTTTTGATGACTGCTCTTTGATAAATATGGCAAAGCTTGAATATTTGTGTTGCGTCTTTCAATTCAGTGCAATTCACCAACATAAAGGTACTATTTGGTATTACCAGAGAGGTGGTTTTTTTTGGGATATGTTGCAGCTCAGTGATGGAGTAAGAATTGAATGTCAGCCTCCTTGTGACCAGGAAAAATCGGTGGTTCCTCTTTGAGTCTCTTGATTGGAATGCAACACCCGCAACCACTGGGAACCACTTTTGTTTGCAAGGTGCACTGCAGCCAGCCAGGTTCTCAGACAGTTTGGCAAAAGTTTGCAAATGACTGCTGTCACATTTATAAATGCATGTTGCAATCAGTAAGTCTGCACCAGTCAGAGCAACTTGTCTGCAACGGGTCTCTTTCAAACGGAGGATTTGACTCAATTTGTTGTATACTGGTTTTGTTGTAAGATTGTTGCCAAGTACCTTTGTAATTTTGCAGTTAAATTGCTATCCTGGAACAACTACCACACTGTTTATGGAGGAATTTTTCCATTTCTGTTTCGGTCTACGAGGTTCTGGCTGATTTCTGAATGTAAGCCATTAAAGGTGTGAGGCTGTTTACCAGCCGTGCATTTGTAAACTGATAGCAGGCTTACTTTGATTTCTGTTTGGTTGCACTAAAATCACTTTGAACACAGCAAATGACCGAAAGCTGCTGCTAACCTGGCCCCCATTTTCAAATCAACCATTTCAAAGCCGAGAAGTTCATATGTTCGTTGCACGTGGTCGCGCCAGCGTCCAACCACCGTCTTCCTGGGTGTGACTGTATTATTTTTTTATTTTTATTTTTTATTTATTGACAAAGCACAAAATACAGATATACAAATACAAAATAGCAAACACAATGTCAGGGGGTTCGTATAAAAAAGCAAAATAGACACAGTCTATTTTAGAATCACATGATATTGAACAGGGAACATAGGTTTATGGTTTTGACAGCTTTTTGATTTTGAGAATGTTGTATGGTTTTAACATATTGTTTGGTTTCATTTAAATATTGTTTGGTTTCATTTAAAGGTGTGACTGTAGCATTACTGTGCTTTTAGCTTTTGATGCTGATTTTTAGACCTATCACTACGGTGGCCCTGAGAGGCCAAACGGACTGCAAAAAGAAAAATGCTGTAAAAAGAAAACACCTGTTTTCTGAAGTTGCAGTCCGTTTGGCCTCTCAGGGCTACCGTACTATCCCTATCTTCTTCCGCAACCCCAAATTTTTACAAGAACATGTTTTAAATGTCTTGCCTGGCTTGTTCCACCATCTTGTGGCAGAAATGGGTATTACACACTACGATACAGCCCTTCAGTTTCAGTCTGTATCAGTGTAACACACACATATACATTTTGGATAAAGCAACAGAAGGGTTTTTTCACATTCTCCTGATAGCTTCAGCTCATTTTGGATTTAATTTATTTTGAAAGACAATTTGCGGAAAGTGTCTTTGAATGCATGAATGAAATAACCGCATACAGAAATCCTGTTTATGTCAGTTTACACTGCTGACAGGCACTGACAGGAGCTGAAAGCAAAAAATAAAAACAAAAATAACACAGGCGACATCCTGTGGTCCCTCAGAGGTTGGAAGTCAGTCGAGCTTTACACCCTCACCACCACAACACCACAACAAAAAAGGGATGATTTTGGCATCTTTACACTGGCACTTGCCACCAGCTGTTGCTGTGAAATTTGATCTCACAGAAGGCTTAGATGTTGGTATAAAAAAGTGTGTTGTGTACTCCCCCAGGGCTTTTGTGTCTCTTTTATAATTTATAGTGTAGATGAGGTGAAAGTGAAACCAGCCTTTTCTCTTCTGGTCCATCTTGCTGAGAGAGGCTAGGAGAGGGTAAAAAAAAGAAAGAAAGAAAAGCAGATTTCTACCCATAACAACTCTCATGATCATTACTTTAGTGAATAGTCGGAGATCATAAAATGTGTAGCAGTACTTTCTACACATCTGTTATGTTTTTAGAGCTGTATGAAGTGTTTTAGTAATCAATAACATTAGACAAGGATCTGTTTAAATGCCATTCTCTTTTCATTTCCATTCTTAAAATTGCTTCCATCTTTTAGCAAACTGATCCATGTTTTCAGTTAAACAGGTTAAAGTGTACACCAGCGTTCCTGTCACACAGTCCCGACTGCGCTCATGTCACCGTGTAACTCGACACAGCATTGTGTTGTTCTGAGTGAGGGAGCTGATCAGTCGGTCTGCCCGTGTCCTGTGCCGATACTCGCCTGCTGCACCATGAGGGCTAAAGTCTCAGACATGCACAGTAAGGACTGTGTCAAAGTGGCTGTCAGAGTCCGACCGTTCAACAAGGTCAGTGTGCTGATGTTTTCTATAATAACCACTATTTATTTTTCTTTTGTAAGCCTTTGCTGTCTGCTTTTTAAATACTCATATTTTGTATTCTTAAGGTGTGACCCACACTGATATACTGCATACTTTATTTACCCTGATAAATCCTGTTGCTTCTTTTAACATTTACAGCAGTAAATAGTAGATTAAATCCACAGGGCTAGTGATTTCAGTCTGAGCAGACAGATGCAGCACGATTTAATAAATAAAATCAAAAAGAAAAAAAATGCTCTGTGGATTTGGGTAATGTAACAAAGTGATCAGTTTTCATAAGCTGTCTCTTCCTTATCTATATATGCACTGACCCTTGTCCCCCAGTAGGACTGTACTGAGTCTGGTGAAAACTGTTTCATAAAATTCAAATTGTGTGTTATTGTGTCTCCTACCTTCTCTTCCACTTACCCTCACATTTTCCTTGAAATCTAAAATAAATGCTTTTATAAACCATTTGCTCTCCCAGCTCTTTTTAGTCTCTCTCCATCATTTCATCTTCTTTTGTTTTCTTCCTTCACTCAGAGAGAGAGGGATGCGGGCAGTCGCTGTATCATATCCATGGTTTCGAGCTCCATCACCATCCAGGATCCACGGGATTCCCAGAACCGACGGTCTTTCTGTTTCGATTATGCCTATTGGTCCCACAGCGGTTTCACAAGAGACCACAGGGGTATCTATGTGCCTGAAGAGCCAGGAGGGAGATACGCTGACCAGGTCAGGTCATAAATGAGCTGGGAGTGTGTTGTGCAAGAAAAAATCTAGATGGTTTGGGCAGAATAAATCTGAATGGATATGAAGTGAGTTATAAGATTAATAAGAATTAATTTACATCTCATGAGATATCATCCATTCCCAGGACAGCGTGTTCCAAGATTTGGGAGAAGGAATATTGGAAAATGCGCTGCAGGTAGCACTCAGTCTTTATCTGATACTCTCTATCTCACGTCTCAACTCTTAATAACAAATGTTCTAAAATTACATGCGCAGGGTTATAATGCCACATTGTTAGCCTACGGTCAGACCGGCTCAGGGAAGAGTTACTCGATGATGGGTTATGGGCCTAACAAAGGCCTGATTCCTAAACTCTGCGACCGGTTGTTTCAAGCCATCAAAGAAAACCAGGAGAACAGACAATGTCAGGTGAAGCAAAAGCACAAGACGATGCAGAATGCTGTGAATGATTGAGTGTGTAAATGATCTAAAATGTGTTTTTTCTTCATGTCCCTGCAGGTCTTTTTCAGTATGTTGGAAATCTATAATGAGCAGGTGGTGTTTGGAGCAAATTCGTTTCTCTGGATATGATACATGCTACGATGCTATTATGTTTCCTGACTCTTCCTTTTCCTCCCCTCTCTGTCCAGGTGGTTGACTTGCTGTCTCGGGCGTCTCGGACTCCGGGCGGGCTCAGAGTCAGAGAGGAGCAGCAACGAGGATTCTATGTGGAGGGTCTCCGCACAGTCCCCTGTGAGACTGCAGCTCAGGTAGAGAGATGAATGGAAAAAGAATACAAACCAAACCAATCAACTCCAGTAGCCAAAGGCTAAGGTTGCAGTCATGTGCAGTTAATATTAGAATCTTTAGGGAATTAAATGCTTTGTGATCTTCTTCAAAGAGAGCCTCACGAAGCAGTCCAGCATGAATCTGTTGGACTCGTCTGGCAGTAAGCATCAGCATTCATCAGAGTCAGAAACTAACAGAGTTAAAGACGATACGGCCATCAGTCTGAGCCCCACCACACTGGGCGATGTCGAAGCATACAAAGGGACATGCTGCTGTTTAATCTAAAAACCAAAAAATATATTTTTGTTCAGAAAAATGTGTTTGCAGGTGGAACAGTTGATGGAGCAGGGGACGAGGACTCGAACCACTGCCGCCACCCACATGAACGCCAACAGCAGTCGATCGCACATGCTCATTATCCTCCAGCTCAAACAGGTAAAGAGGTTCTGTGCACACTTTTCCAATTTGTTAACATAATTAATACAAGAACAAACATATGTTGTATAAATCTACATTTATGTAAGTGGCTGTAACTTCCTGTCAGATCTTCTCTAAAGAGAGCATCACGAAGCAGTCCAACATAAACCTGGTGGACCTGGCTGGCAGTGAGCGTCAGCGTTCATCGGGGTCAGAAGCTGATAGGCTCAAAGAGGGCACGGCCATCAACCTGAGCCTCACCACCCTGGGCAATGTCATCAGGTGACCTGCTGTTTGACTTGATTTACTTTGCATTTACTTTAGTATTTTTGACACTCTTCCCTCATCTCTCCTCCAGCTCCCTGGCTGATGTTGCGGTGGGGAAGAAGGTTGTCCATATTCCTTACAGAGACTCAGCCCTCACAAAGTTGCTGCAGTCTGCACTGGGAGGCAACAGTCGCACTGTTATGGTATCGGACACTCATTTGATACGAGGTTGAGTCTTTGGAAGATGCTTTTAAAGTAAATTGAATATATTTGTTTTTGAGATTGCCACATTGAGCCCTGCTGATATCTGCTATGAGGAGTCTCTCTCCACGCTGCGCTATGCTGAGAGGTACAATAAGCACTGTAAAGTCTTCTGGATATTTCCCTTCTGCTCTATAAGTAACATATTTAATATACGTTTTATACTTTAGTTCTTTTTGGCCTCTCCTTTATGTCGTTCTACACCTAACTTCTTGTCCCTCCACCTTTTCCACTTCTTCAGGGCAAAGCGTATCCAGAACCGTGCAGTGGTGAACGAGAGCCCCACCGAGCGTCTCGTTAAAGAACTAAAGGCAGAGAACGCCAGACTGTTGCAGCGTCTGAGCCGTCTGGGCCAGGAGGGACGCAGGGCGAATGACGAGACCAGTAAGAATCAGCGTTTGAGAGCAGCAGAATGGGATTCAGGGCTGTTGACAGGTCGTCTCGTATCTTTGTGTGTTCAGAGGAGCTCCGTCAGCTGCTGACCCACAATGAGCTTCAGATCAGAGCCATTCAGACTCTATGGGAGCAGCATGTGCAGGAGGCCCTGAAAGACTGGGAGCAACAGTATGCTAACATCACACAGGTGCATGCATAGATACATACGTAGATGCAGACATGCAAAACACACAAGCAAAGGCTGCAAATGCATTTGATGGAGGTTTTGTATGTAGTGTCTTTAAATGGATGTTTCTTGTTTCCCTCGTCCTCACTGGCAGGAGAGGAGGATGATGCAGATGCATCCCTACATCCTGAACATCAACGAGGATGCTCAGCTGTCAGGGGTGGTGAAGCTTTTCATCCAGGAGGGTTAGTCCATCTGAATCTCTCTGTATCTGTGCCACGAGATGTATGGTTCTCTCCCTGATAGAAGAAGCTACTAAAGGTGGACAATACCAGATAGTTAAATGGCTTAAACAGCTTAATGTAACAAACATGTCCTGCAGATTTTAACATGTTTGGTGAAATGTTAATCTTTTTATCTTTAGGGGAATGGGACATCGGACTGTGTGACTCCTCCCCACGGTCCATTTGTATCAAGGGTCTAGGGTGAGTTTGCCATCATTGCAAAGAATAAGAAAATTGTCTTTTCGTCTGTATGCATATACACTGATGGGGTCTAAATATTCTTTACATCAGTTTTCTGTCTTACATAAAATTGTTTGTGAGGGGCAGCCAATCAAAAGCTGTTAAAGGCTGGGTATCCATAAAACGAGAGGAGATCCATTAATAACATAAGTAAGGATTATCTTGATGTGTGAATAATGCAAACCGACTGCAGCAGAGTCCAATACTAAAAATATACGGAGCTGGGAAGAAGTCGGATCAGTCCCCTTTTTTGTTTTTATGTGCGTTAGGATCCAGGAACGTCATGCTGTGTTCAGGAATGAACAGCGCAGGGTAACGCTGACCCCGATGACAGGAACAAAGGTTATTGTAAATGGCAATCCTGTTTCCCAGGCAACAGAGCTGCAGCACCTGGTGGGTCTTGACTCAAATCTCAATTATATGATGTGGTTGTGTGACATGCTGTTAAAGTATACACTATATATATATATATATATA